TATTTTTTTTTTTGTAAATACACATATATGCTCAGGAAGTCAAGTGTAATTTTGATAATTTTCTCCTAATTTTATTTTTTAAGTTCAAACACAACTAATCACACTGTTCTATGTTCTCTTCAACATGTCAATAGAGTGCCCTTTATTGGTAATAACAACAACAAAAAAGTGTACCATCAAAAAATTGATTTATTCTCTGTAAGAGAAATGTAATGATTGAACTTACACAAAATATTATAATAATTATTTCTATGAGTGAAGTTTAAAGTTATATTAAGAATAAAAAGGTATATTCCCAGTTTGCAAATTTGTGAGGTACTTTCCTCTGTATATAAAATGTTGAGATTAGATATGGGTAATTAACAGCAGTATGTGAATTAAGCCTCACAATAGACACTCACTGAGTTAGGCTTTATTTGTCCTTGAAGATCAGTTACATTGTAGGTACATTGTATAAGAGATAAGACCTTCAAGTACTCTCTAAATGAAATAGGCAGGAAAGAGAGTGCAGAATATCTATCTTTAATATATCACATTTTTATCATCATTTTAACACATTTTTTGGTTTTATCCTCCTTTCTGGGAGTGATGTAACACATATTTACAAAGTGCTAATACAAGTTTCTGAGAAATGGGTTGTGACATAAAAAATATTATCCATGCTAACTTATGCCTTGTAAGTGTTATTTGGTTATGAATTTGGTTCTATTTTGATAATTTTCATGTACATTTGACAGTTTAATTTGTATTCCAATTTGTCTACATTTCTTGCCCTCTTACACGCAGTCTATGCCAAAAGGGGATCCAGAGATCTGGGGTGATGTACCGGTAGGTCAAAGGTTACTTTCTCATCCCATGTCTTACACCTTGTTTCAGCCTAGCATGACTTTTGTTGTTGTTTTAGTTTCCTTAGTGTCATTTGTACTGCATGCAAGTCAACCTCTCTCAAACTATTTGATTACCCTTCTAGTTGAACAACATTTATGTTCATATGGGGTGTTTTATCCCTCACCCTCTTCTCTGAGATAATTTACTTGCTCCTGTTTCCTGTAGATAGCTATAGAGGTGTATATCTAAAAATGGGCATTATCACATAAATATAAAAACCTGTCTAAACTGAATATTAAGTGGGCTGCACAAATTGATAAATATTACATGCTTGCTTTATGATAGCAATACATGTTGTTGTTTTTGACTCCCATGTGCGAAGCACAAAATGGGAGTCTTTGCAGTTAGTGTGTCTGTATGTGTGTGTGTATGTGTGTATGTGTGTATGTGTGTATGTGTGTATGTGTGTATGTGTGTGTGTGTGTGTGTGTGTATGTGTGTCCGACTGTTCCACTGCTATCTCAAGAACCATACATCGGTTTTTGATGAAACTTGGTGCATAGATGCTCTGGGCCAATGCGCAGATTTGATTAGGTTTTGGTAAAAATCCATGCTCGTTAATTACCTAATTTGCATGATAATTAGCTAATTTTTAGCTGTTCTATGACTGTTCCACTGATATCTAAAGAACCACTCATTGGATTTTGATGAAACTTGGTACATAGATGCTCTGAACATATGCGCAGATTTGATTAATTTTTGGTAAAAATCCGTGCATATTAATTACCTAATTTGCATGATAATTAGCTATTTTTTAGTGGTTCCATGACTGTTCCACTGATATCTAAACAACCACTCATTGGATTTTGATGAAACTTGGTACATAGATGCTCTGAACTCAATGCTAGGTTTTGATTAGTTTTTGGTAATAATCCGTGGATACTAATTACCTAATTTGCATAATGATTAGTCAATTTTCGGTTTTTCCACTGATATCTCAAGTACTAATCATCACATTTCAATGAAACTTGGTACATAGATGTCATACGACACTGCACAGACCTGATAGTTTTTATGGTAATATCA